TCATATCCCAGTGGTGCTCATCCTGGATAGTAAAGGAGGAGCTAAATAACCCAGGCAGTGCCCTGTGCTGATGTGGTTGGCAAAGATTGGTGTTGGCTTGGGTTTTCCATCAGTCAGAGGAATCGGTGGCTGTGCAGTGCAGACATCCCCTAAAGGCTGTGGCTCAGCCGTCACTGGGGTTAGGAACCTATGACTTAAAATAATCAGTGCCATTTCCTGTGGTCTGGATGCCATCAAGACTGGAAAATTCAGAGTAATCTTGTTTGGTGCCTGCCTGCACCTTGCTAGAGGGGACTTCTGTTCTGCTAAAAGAATACACAGCAAACGTGTGCCAAAATGAGCCATTTAATGTATAAAGCAGAACAGGCTCCTTCTCTCAGCATCGAAATGGGTCTCCTGGCTTCACCTGCTCACATCCTCTGTTACCAGTATTTTAGTGGGATAGATTATGTCTCATGGTATTTTGGCAATAAAGGATGTTTTACAATATTTCAGGTTTTCCTGAGGTTGTCCTTTCACCTGCCTGTCTCTGCCCTTCAGTCTTCCGTGCTTCTGATGACTGATTTTATTATCTTTGCTATTTCTAACCCTCTTTTGGTCCCCATCGAAGCCTGATTTCTGCTGCGGGGAAGATGGAAAAGGTCAGGCTTTCACTAGTGAAGCTTATTTAATTTGTTTGCTGTGTCTGTGGGCAAATTTGCATGTATGTTGCTGGTATGAACTATCAGGACCCTCCTGGACACATGGGCCAATGGTTGCTTATTTCTTTACCTCTTCTCCTCTGTTGTTCTTTTCTCCCATATGTCCAGTATTCCCAGTTTTACCTCTTACACAAGGAAAAAAGCTTAGGGGACTCAAAACAGTAAATAAAAATGACATTTGCAGCAGTCAGTCTGATACAACAGGACTGGGATGCAGCAGCACTTCTTTGTTTGGGCTTGTTTCCACTCTTTATTTAAAGCCTCTTTTAATCAGGAGCTAATGACAACTTTTGTTTGCAAGAGCTGATGCACAGGAAAAAAACAGTTTCCATTCAAAATAATGCAAACTGTTATAAATAGGAAGATCTGCAAGGACATAATCAAGCTAAATTGCCCATTGTTACTCTCGCTATAGATGATTTCTTGCTTCTGCTATATGAGCTGGGTTGTTGTCTGGATTTAGGGAAAATGTGTTCTCTTTTATTCCAGTTATAAACCTATGCAGCAGCAGCAGCTGGTTGTTGCAAGAGTGGGTTTTGCTCCATTTTTTGTGCGGATCAAGCAAATATTTCGGTGGCTTGGATGTTGCCATTTAAATTGTCTCATGAAAATTGTCTAACTGTCTTCTGCCAGTTTCTTTCTGCAGCTAAACTGATCCTTTAGGGTGGACACATCTCCTAGGGGAGCGTGTTGCAGGCAGATGTGAAGTAGTCTTTCAACAGGTCAAAGCAGCAGCCAGCCAGGAAAACAGCTATGACTTGGGAACAGAGAAACTCTCTCTGTCTGCAGATGGTATGCAGTAAGCTCTGGATTTTAGTGACTCCATGCAATTTATCCTATTGAAAGTAGCTGAGCCCATAAAGAATTTGTAGCTGACGCTGAAGTCTCCAAAAAGATTATAATGCATTTAATACTTGGGGGTTTGTTTTTGTTCTAATTTTCCTCAACTGTGTTACACATGAATGTGACATAAAAGCTGCACGCTTTTCTGTGCTTTCATTGAAATGCTGTATTATGGAGATGGCTCATAAATTGGGCAACAGTATTTTCCATCCTTCTGACTTTTCTGCTAAATGATCTTTTTAACTTTTTTAATGATTTGGTCAGTTGTTTGTTCATTGGGCAGTTCTCGGAGAAGTGCAGGTGTCTTCAACTGTGACATGACAGTGAAGATTAACATGAGAATATCACAACATGATAAGGCCTTCATGGTTATGGATGGCAAACATTGCTTGATAATGTCACTTTTGTGACACAGCCTTTTGCTCACTTATTCCACGTCTTTATTTTAAAACATTTCCCCCTTTGCTCCATTCTGTGCAGTGTAATCTTTGCTGAAGGATGGTAGCGTCCTGAGGGTTAAGCAACCTCATTTAATCTGTGCTGCTTTCTAATTTCTAACCTCAGAAGCAGAGAACCTGAACTGCAAATTATATAAGAAGAGTCTAATTAGGGCAGGACAAATAATAAAATAAGAAGGGGATTGGGTTTAATTTTCTAAATTAACAAAAGGGTAGAGTTAGACGAAACCACAGTTGTGGCACTTACTTGAATGCTCTGCAACATACTTTGTTTTGGCCTAGTTCTCGGTAGGAAGGCAAGGAGCTGGTTGGAATTACAGCTCTCATCAAAGAGTTGTATTGTTTGGACACCTTGACAAGTCACTGATGTCCTTGTCAGCTGTAAATGTCAACTTAACTGTCAAGAGGCAGCTATGAATAAAAGAGGTGAAAGTGTCTGGTCTCACCTTCTGCTTCCTTGTGTGGCCCACCTGTGACAGGCAGGAAAATCTTGCTGAGGTGAGCAGTTGAGAAGGCCACTGGCTTGTGGCTGAGCATGACATCAAGCCTTCTGGGATACAAAGAGGTTGTCTCCACTCTCTTCTTGTAACAAGCTTGCTCAGGTGGTCCCAAAAGGAGGAGCTGCTCTTAAGCTGCCTTCAGCTTCTCTTCTATAGAAGACAGATGCCCCTGGAAAGATGATTTTTGGGGTGGCCAGTGTTGGAGAGCTCTTGGAAAAAGGCCCTGTGCATCTGGGATTAGCCAGATGTCCCAGAGGACATCACAGCTTGTATCATCTTTGGCCAAATACCTGGTGAGCTGGTACATTTTTGCCAGGTTGAGAGGAAGAGTTTTACTGGGTGCTTGGGGAACTCTTTCCTCCATCTGCAATTGCTCGGTTGAACCTTCATTCATCTTTATTGCTGTTTTTCTCATTCTTGTCTGGGTTCCTAATGACAGTGATTATACCAAATGCAGCACATTTCATGTACTTTGGAAATGATTTTTTCAGGCCCAGCTCATTCTTTCAGTGCTTGAAGGATCATTAAAAATACTGCATTTTAGATGTACGGTTTTCTATCCTCCCCATTCTATTTCCAGTCCTGTGTTAACTTGCAAAGTAATAAAATAGCTGACTTTATTATGTTGCATTAATTAATTATCTCTATAGCAACATACACTGATGTCATAAATATGGGAATTCAGCAGCACAGCTGGATGGAAGAAGAACTAACACACATATGGGGAGAAATACTTTTTTTTAAACACTCAAATATGTACAGTAGTTAAGTAAACAGAAGATTGCTAGTAAAGCAATATTTTGCATCATTTCTCTCCTGCTGCTTCATTCCCCTTTCGACTGAACCTTCTCTGTTACATAGGTACTTCATGTTCCTGCTAAAGAGGTTTTCCAAGCTGTTGATCTGCATCCCTACCTGCTCAAACACTGGGTTATCTGCTGCTTGCTTTTATACTGATACATGGAAATGCAGGCAGCAGGGATCCTCCTTGCAGGAGAAATCCCCTCAGCTTCAGCAAAGCCACTGTGCTAGGGATGGTTCTCCATGGGGAGGGAAGGGTATGGATCATGTAAAGGGAATGCAGTTAATTTTGGCACTGTGGGAGGGTGACACAGTGTGAGACAGGGTATCTCAAAAGGCAGAGGAGCTGAAAAAAAGTGAATTTTGGCTCTGAAAAGGCTGAGATGCTCTGCTCTTCTTAGTGTGTGTGAGTAGTTATGATTTCCCTGGTTTTGGGGCGTCCTGGGTTATCTCTGGAGGTCCTTGTTGGGCTGTGCCACTGACTTGTTCCTGTTTCAGTGCTACTGTCTTGGCTAAAAGGCACTGGAGAGGTGTTTGTCTTATGGTGCCTGTGAATCATACTTGCAATGAGCCCTCTGCAATGGGGCTCAGAGAGGGGCTGTCTGTCTCCCAGGAGTTTGTAACAAGGTACAGTATCCTAAAAAAACAGCTTCAATGGTTTGTGATGATAGCTGCAAAAGCAGGCTGTGAAGAGGACTAAGTAGTTGGTTCAAGGGAAGAAATACGGTAGGAAGAGGCTGTAATTGCACTGCAGGTCTAAAGCTCCCCAGGGGCTTATACCTGGTGCTTTTGTAGCTCTTTTTTTGCCAGTTAGTCTATTCACTGAACAGCTTGGTTTTGCTATTTGTTTGCTGCCATCGGCTGTGAAGCTGATCAATTCTTACCAGTCCAGTGCAGCCCTTGAGGAGTAAAGGCACTCTCCATTGAATAATTTATTCAGTTAATCTATTTTGATTTTTGGCATTTGACAGGTCCCAGGCAGGATACTGTATGTCTGCGTGGAGGAGTCTTGGTACGCGGTGCTGCTATTTATACAGCATCCCAGCTATGGGAAATACTCTGTGGATGTGCTTGGCAGGGTGAAAAGCTCTCTGCAGGATGCAAGACACTCTTGCATTCTGCTCCATACAGAAGGAAAAGACTGGGATGTTTACTTAGTTTTGCACTGAGATAAGGCAGGGAAAATTCACAGCACAGACATGACAGGCAGTGACAGGTGAGCTGTTGGGCCATCCTTTGGGATGAAGACATTGGGGGTTAAGAAAAGCCCTTCTTTGGATCAGCCCACATCATTTGCCATGCAGAATCTCCTGGGAAAATGAGGCCAAACATATTGCTGGTCTGCTCTGTATTTAATTAACTGACGTACCCAAGCCAGGGAAAGTTTAACTCTGGGTGTAGGACACTGTGCAAACCTCACTTTAAATTCAGTGTTCTCTGCCTGGGATAAGTGCAGAAAGGGTTAAGCTATGAAACAACCTCCCCTTTTCTATATAAATTAAAGAAACTGTTAACATGGTAATATTTTTATTTCCATAGAAAAGTGTTTATTTTGGTAGCATGTACAAAGTTTTAGCTATTCTAAAACACTGAGATTTCACAGCCGAGCTTTCATGTTCCCAGCAGAGAAGGAGGTGAGATACTCAAAGAATCTGTTCTTATTTCAGCACTGCACTCGCCAGCCAAATTTTCAAAAGAGCCCAGTTTGCTGACATAAATGGGGTTGCTGATGTGTCGAAAGAGAAGGAAGTGCGGTAGAGCATATTCCTCAGTGGGTCCAAGTCTCTCCCATTTTATCTTTCTCTTCCATATGTTTCCCCTGTAATGAGAGGAATTATTTATCATTAAAGTGCTATATAATTTAAAAATTAAAGTTAAAATTAATGAATGCTTAAATTAATTTCCTGACAAAAATAAATGTCTGTCCTTCAGATCCTATAATTTTAATTGGAGTGGGCTACAGCTTAATTAACATGTATTGATTGTAGTCCTGTGCGCATCTATGGGTGGGTGAGCTCTGTAGCAGTGGTGTGAGAAATCCTCCTCACAGATGAAGGTGTGTTAAGATTTGCTGATAACTTTCTGAATAATTGTCTTGTGAAGAGACAGAAAAGTCTTTGGTATCAAGCTGTTTTCTCTGCAGAAAGCTTAAACAAAATATGTTGTTTAAAATTAGGGCTAAGAATTGGCAAGTCCACTTTATAGATGGGAAGAGAATTCTGTGCCAAGAATATTAATGGATCATTAATTAGATGCATGAAGAATACAGAAAGTTGGAAGGAAGCTGGACCAAATAAAGCAGCTGACGCAACTGGAATTGTTTTTGGGAAAAAGGAAGGCTTCAATTTGATCTTGGCTCTCTACACTCTTTCCCCATGGGCAGGTGTCCCCTGTTTCCCAGTGGGTGCTGATGGGGAGGAAGAGTGTGACAGCATGGGGTGTCATCTGAGGGAGGTGTTGGCAGATTGGCCTGAAAAGGATCACCTGCTTTGGGCCAGTGGGAGGAGATGACATTCTGAGGCCCCTCCAACCTGAGATGTTCTGGGATCCTGTTGAAGCCTTGGGGCAGGCACTGTGCAAAGCCCCTGCAAGCAGGAGCCCATAGGCTGAGGAGGGAGAAGGCAAGCCTTGCCTCTTGGCACAAAACCCTCTGCCTGATGCTGAAAGCTTTCTGCCTGACCTGTTCCGTACAGCAGAGGACCAACTGCCAACCTTTGCAAATCAATCTCTTTAAAGAGAACTCTGTATTCTCTGGCATTAATATTTTATGTTTTGTCAATATTATGAATTAACAGAATGGAAGATGTGCCACATCTCACCTTGCAGCTGTAGCCCACAAGCTGCCTGGACTCCTCTGAATGATTTGGGGTGCTCTTCCCTGGGGACCCTCTGATAAATGTATCATGAGAGGTACCCACAGGATCCTTGTTGGCCCTTTGGGGCAGATTTTGGTGTGCAAGGGCCATTTTATTACGGGAAGGGTTTGTGTAGCACAGGCTCTGTAGCATGTCTCACTCCCAACCTTATGAATGCAGGGTTGTCTCTGGGAGGTCTGTGGATCCCTGGGAGTGTAGGAGACAATTAGCCTGCTGCAATGGGCAAGGTGATGTGTAAGGATGTGAATGGAGGATTCCCATGCTAAGCTGGCGGTCCTGTTTGCTGCCTTGTCCTCCCCAGTTGAAGGCAGAGGAGACAGAGGGCATGTGGGAGGGGTGCATGATATCTTTGGTTCCCTGTGCTCTGCTTGGCCCTTTAGAGTTTGCTGAGCCCCAGTGATGCCTCTGGACTTTGCACTGTGACAGGACCTGGTGGCAGGCTTGCAGCCTCCTCACTTCTTCCCTGCATTGGTTTCCTTGGCTGTGGTGGGCACTGAGAGTTCCTGAGCACAAGGTGGCATGAACTGGAGGTTGCCTAAATCAGCCTTTGGTGGGACAATTTGTAGGATGGTGAGCCAGCATATCTCAGAGCCATCAGCTGGCAGTTGACTATTGGGTATGTACCTTTAGCCCTGTGCTCTCTGCAAGGGGAAAAAACGTTAAGCGTATGTGTTCTCTCAGCCTTGGATTTCAGAAGGTTTAATTTCCACAGCACAAGCTCCTCTTTCTCCAGACAGTTGGTTTTTTTCTTTGTTTGTTTACTTTTTGTTTTGTTTTGTTTTGGTTGGTTGGTTGCTTTTATTATTATTATTGAATCATATAGGTGCAAAGAAGAAAAATCCCTCTAGACTTGATTCACAGCAAAATGTTTATAAACTCAGATTCAGGTTGCAGAGGCAAAGCATAAAATAAAGGGAGAGAGAGGCTTTTTTACAGCTTATGAAGTCCAATTTCCCCTGAGCTGGAAGAGCCTCACAGCTTTCTTCTGTTACTGCTTTCTGCTCAGGGGATGGGGAAGGAACGAACAGCAATGCTTTGGGGAGCCCTCCACCCTCTCTTCTGCAACTAAATCCAGTTTGCAACTCAACAGGCTGTTTCTTGCCTTGCAGTGGAGTAAAAGTATTAAAAATGCAGCCACAAACCGACTGGCTAAATAGGTGGTAACATTTGATATCATGTATGAGTCACACGTGAGCCACTGGCCACTTCTGTCTGGGAAGTCCTTTCACTGCTGGGGCGTGGGAGCACCATTCCTTTCCCGTAAGTGATTATCCACTGCTCCCAAATACAGTCCCAGGCAGGCTGCTATACGCACTGCACACAACAGGTGATGGGTTTGCCCTCAGGTTTCTTGGGTGTCTGAGCATTTTCAGGCAGGTATTGTATTTTACCTGTGTTGTCTTCTCATATATCGCACAGCACGACCTGTTGCTGCAAGGGGTAAGAACGTACTTCTCCTTCGAAAGTTTGCTAGTTAAGATCTTCCCTTTGGCCTACATGCCCTTCAGGAGGGGTATTTTAATTCATCCAGTAGGGTTGGGAAAATGGAGACTCCTCTTCCAACTTGTCAAACCCATCCCTTGCATTGTCCCTTCTTATTAATGCGGTGCACAGGCAATGCCTTCCTGGGGACTTTTTTTTTCTCCAATATATTGAATAAATTCTACATCAGGAAGGAAAGTAACTTTCAATAATGAACCATCAGTGGGTATTTAAGATTGCTTTAATGGGTCACATTGATGTAATCTGCACTTTTTCCTGGGAAGATCATACCGGCCCATTACTTTAATTCATATTTATGTCAGAAGAAAATAGGCAGTGTAGACAGCTCAGAAAGAGCATTTCCCTGCTAAGCAGCCAGATACAAATGTACAGAAATATACCAGGGTTTGGGGAGAGTAGGGAGTGCAATACCAGGTGTTTGGACAATTATCTCTTGCAGGAAATGTTCCTCAAAACCTGTTTTCTCACCTTAGGATGTAACCCAAGAAAGTATGTGCTCATGGGCCCAGAAGTGCACAAGTTTGAGCAACTTAAAAATTACCTTTAAGAGCATTTTTATCACACTCATCTCTTTTCAGTGCTCTGCTTTGCATGTGGCTTACAGAGCCACACGCATGGGCATGAGAGATGCCTGTAAGTAGTTTGGTTGGTTTAAAAAAAGGATCAGAATGGAAGGGAGGCCAGTCAGAGTTATACAAATAAAAACAATGGAGGTGAATATAATCAGTAAGGTTCAACCTTCCAATCATGTGCTCATGTCCATTATTCCTTGTTGATCAGACCCCTCTGAAAACCAAGAGCCAGCCCAGACTGGGCTATTAGTGGCATTTAGGTTGTCTGCAAGAGAAAAAGATGGAAATTGTACGTAAACCCATTTCTCTTGGCCAGGACAAGCAGCTGTGTCTTGATCTGCCGCTGCAGGAAGATGAGATAAAGTTGCAAGTTCACTCAGTCAAGATAGATGGAGGTATCAGGGGAAGGCAATGAAAATAATACAAATTACTGGAGCTGCCTCTGCGAGGCTGGGAGGAAGGGACAAACATGAGTAATGCCATGTGAGTGATTTGCAGAAAATGATTTCTTCGATAACATTTGCCTTTATAGAGGTAAACTGTCAAAGGCCACAAAGCAAGTTTTCTGATGTGTTCTTGAGTCAGGATTATTTAATGAGGAAATGAAGCGGCCGTCCCTCAGGCCTTGGAGACGTGTTACCCAGGGGACTAAGAGAGAAAGAAGCTCAAACACTGGCTCCAAGCGAAGAGTGCTTGTTCTTGAGGTCACTCCAAGCTCTTCCAGATAAAATTAGGCTCCTTAATTTGAGGCTTTTCAATTACAGGGAGTACATATGCAATGCCAAGAGATGTGAAACCTAAACGCAAAAAGAGGTTTGGTAATGCCACCATTCCAGTCTTGATGCCAGTGCTGTTTCTACAAATATTTTTAGTGGTTTGTATCTATACCGACTTTATATTTTTCCTTTTCCGATACACTGTCTTATTATATTGTTCTTTCTGTCCTTTGATACACCTGTAAGAAAAAATCATCTTATTCAACCTTTTATTTAGTGTGATTATCTCTAGAAGAAAGCCAACAACTAAAAATCAGTGGTTTTGCACAAATACAAGCTAAAGAACTAGACTCTCTTTCTTTTTTTAAGCTTACATAAACGCATTTGTTGAAAAATTGGGTTTCAGGTCAGCTGAAATTATTTGTGGTGAAGTCAACAAAAAATTACAACAGAAAGTAGCAATTTAAAAAAAATCAAACCGCTTCTTTGTGCGTTTCTGAAATGAGATGCTCTGACATCTTTTCAAAGCAAGTTTGGAGCCAAAGTGAAGCTAATGCTAACTTTAAAAATATGTTTGGCACTTCCCTGGTGAACGTTTTTTCCTCATTTCCTCCCTTCTTTAAGGTTTTTTTCTTTTATGGAAGAAAAAGCGAAACTTTGTCTTGAGCTGCCTCAGAATGTCCCCACCTCCCTGACAAAAAACAAAAAGTAAAATTACATGGTTATTGGTTGGTTGAAACCCCCATGAAACAAAAAAACAAGGCAAAAGCGAAGCCACCAAGCATTTGACATTTTCACTCTAGTAAATATTTGCTTTCCTTCATTTGGCCAGCCAAGCTCTAATGCAGGAAAACATTACATGCATGCCTAATGATAAGTATGTGCTTAAATCCTTCTGGCTTCTCTCCTTTCAGGTGAGTCAGGCCATTTCTCCCCCCTGACCTGGCAATGCTACAAGGCTCCTTCATGGAGACCATTTAAACCTGCAGTCTGCTGGAGTACCTGCAGACCCAGAGGTGAGGTCCAGCTGGGGAAGTCCTCCCATCTCAGGCATCTGAGCTGTAACCATCTGCTGGGGTGTAGGATGTGTCCATGGAGCGTTACTTGAATTTTTGCTGCTCTGAAAATGGAGAATAAGCTGGTGCAAACCAGGAGAAGTGGGAAAGATAGCAACATCAGAGCAGTCCCCAGGCTGTCCTAGTACAGAAGAGGAGTTCCTACAATAACTCCTGACAGTGTGACGGATCCTGGAGGTATCTTGGATCCCTTTTTGCATGACAGGGGACACAAGAAAACTGACGGCACAGGGGCTGCTGGAGGAATTGCATCTGGAGAGGAGGTTACACATAGCCTGTGGGCTACAGGATAGGTACTATGGACCTGGGCTTTTCAGCACCCCCGCTGCAAGAAGGCTTTGAAGCTTCCTGCCTGTTCACTGCACAGATACACCTCCCATTACCATGTCCCAGGAGCAGCAAAAGGGCTTATGCTTATTTTTAAATTGCTGGTTTGAAGAATTAAGTGATAAAAGACTGCGGTTTTCCTCGCTTTTCCAACCAGGAGATTCATGAGGTGGCTGGGTGAGTTTAAGGGAACCTGCAGTCTTTTAATCATATTGATGGGTGGGTAGATTTTGTTTATTGGAGTATGTTTAAGCCTTTAAATCAGGAGCACACTCTCTGCAATGATTCCTTGTTGCTTATCAGCCTCTTAAGGCCTTGTGTGGTGGGTTGACCCTGACTGGGTCTGCTCTGCCATTGACCTCCATGGACAAGGGAACAGCCTGCCTCACCATGTTCTGGAGCACCTCCTGCCCTGCTCCTGCCCTGACCCTGGTGCCTGCAGAGCTGTTTCTCTCACATATTCTCACTCCTGTCTCTGGCTGAAGTTTTTGTTCCCCCACCCCTCTTCCTACACACATTATCCCAGAGGCACTACCACCATCACTGTTGGGCTCCGCCTTGTCCAGCAGCAGGTCTGTTGTGAAGCTGCTGGCATTGGCGCTATTGGACATAGGGGAAGCTTGTAGCAGCTTCCCACAGAAACCACCCCTGTGGCTCCCCCACTATCAAAACCTAGCCATGCAAACCCAGTGCACCTTAATTCATAACTCAGTATTATTTTTTCAGCCTAAAATGAACTTTAAAGACCTGTTATTGGAAAGATTTAAGTTATAACAAACTCATATTCATGTTGTTTTTGCACAGAAGATGCTTTTAATATCATATTTAATGTTCCAAACAAAACCAGTGCTTATAGGGTGCTTTGCAGCCTGGATGCCTTTGATTAGGCAGATATGGACCATGGTTGATCTTGCATTATTTGGGGCTTTTGATTTGCATTTTGTGACCCTTATGTTGTAAACAAAGACTTCTTTATATATCTGTAGATCGTCATGTTGCCCACAGAGTGCTGCTGAAATGTAAGATGACTCTGGAGGATGCAAGACTGCAGGTTCAGGGCCAAATGGAAATCCCCCATGTAAAGCACTTTCACGTCAAGGTTTGGCTCACCACAGCAGAGATGGAGGAACTGCTTTGTTTTCCCTATGTTCCATTTTGATTTGTTGAAGAGGTTCCAGACTGCACTGTAGGACTTGATGGGGTGAAGCCACTGCTGGCACGGTTGTTACTGGTGAATTGGTTGGAAACTTGCAGTGTCTCACTCAAAAGGCAGGGAGGTGCAATAGCTGCCCCTGGTGCTTGGCCTCTGGGTATGGTCCCAGTGCCAGGAGCCAGGGAAATAAATGCCCCACTCAGAGCTAACTTCAGCCATGCATCAGGGGGCAGGGAGAAGAAGAAAAGGGCAGTGCAGAAGAGAGCTTGTTCATTTGTTTGCTCAAGGGATGCATCATGCCTGGAGCTGTGGGTCAGATAGGGGTGGTTGTTAGCGGAGGGCTCTCAGTTTATTGCAGGCTTGCTCTTGCCCTGCAATGACCTGAATCATTGGAAAGCTTGCTGCTGAGAACTGCTTAGGAGACTTTCTGCTTGTGCCTCATGTGTGTTGGAGAGGAAAACCCAACAGGAGCAATGGGGAGGCTCTGAGAGTCCTGCTGCACAAGCCGCTTTGTTTTGTGCCACCAAGCAATGTCATGGACATCCCTGGAAGCACAGGGCAACCCTGGGTGGCCTCCAGTCCTGAGCCCTTGAGTGACACTGCCCAGTGCACAGATACCCCTTGGTCCTCTGAAAGGCAAACCCATGAAAACCTGCCCTCCAAATCCGGCTGCCTCCAAAGCCACCCCTATGTGGTGCCAGTGCTGTTTTGTGAGGCTCTCATAGTAGCAACCAAAACATCAGCTCTTTCAGTACACGTGCACAAGCGGTAGAGCACAGGAATGAATCAGGCAGTCGCTGCTGATGCGTGCGAGCAAGTTTTTCTACTGTGGTTATCTCTTGTTTCTGCAAGGGTTATAAAAGTAAATAATCCTGCTATAACACAGTGTCTCCATGGATAACTCTTCCTGAGGCTGACTTATGGTGATTAATATGCTACAGAGGGAAATTATTTATTTTTTTTAAAGGCAGCAAGGAGCTGAAGCTGAGAACGTGCTTTGAAGAAGCTTGTTCCATTCATGTCCCCTGTGCTCGATGCTGATTAGCTTTTGTTTCTTCCTCCAGCATTAAATGAGAGAACTGCTGTGGGTTTTTTTCTCCCTCCCCTGCAACTCTGATCCCCAGTACTGTGAGGATTAGCAAGGGGCCAGATTCATGAGGGGTTGACCTTGCTCTACTGTAAGATCCCTCCTTGCATGCCTGTACTGCTGGGCTGCCAGGCAGCATCCCCATGGGCCAGGTAAGCAACATCAAGCCTCTTTCTGCACCCCATGCAATGCCTGAGGTGTCTGGAGAGGGACTGGGTCTGGGGAGGGAATGTGAGCAGGGATGAAGCACAGAGCTGGCCAGGAGAGGTGCTGGCCTTGTGCAGAAATGGCTCAAGTATATCACTCCCTCCCTGGCAGTTGTGCTGTGCTGGAGTAATATTTATGCTGGTCCTGTTTCTGTAATGGGTCTTTTAGCACTCTTCCAGATAGTTGTATTGAGTAGTGCCTTAGGCTGTAGCCAAGAAATGGGAGACCACTGGGAACAAGGTTGGTGCTGCCCAACGTTTCTCTGAACAATGTGGCAGGGTACCAAGTACGTGTAATACTGCTGCCAGGTATCTTATGTCCTCGGTGCATAACACAATGCACCTCTGTAATGTTAAGGCTCAGTTAACTGGTTACTGCTGTCAAAGTCTTCTGCTGAAAGCACAGTGTGGGGCATACACCGGTTTTACAAAAACAAGGAAAATAGTGAAAATTGTCCCCTTTTCTTGAAAATTCTCAGTATTGCACACTTTTCCCTCCGTAACACATGCGTAAAGTATCTTGCATGGAATTTAAGTTCTCCAGCGTGCATTCCCTAATTTACCAGAAACACTTCATTTCTGTGGATCACAAATGTCCCTCTGAGCCACCCAGGCCTGTTGGCTCCCTGCAGGCGTGGCTTCTCCAAAACTCTCTAGTTTGTGGTGAAATCTCTTTTGACCTTTGAAAGCTTTGGCTTGGGAGGGAAAATATTTTACCCCAGGATGGATGCTGCTTCCTGCACAGGGATGCTGCAAAATAAATTCCAGCGTGAGGAAGGGAGAAGCATCTAATCTTCCTGCTCCTTAGATTTAGCTCTGCTGTTAGCTGGACCTTGCACATAAAACTAATTTTATAATTTGTAAATGTAGCTGAGTGGGTTTTATAGAGGAATATCAGGAAGTGATGAAATACCTTTAATAGATTTATGAGGAAGGTTAATACATAAAGCTCTCTTCCCCCCCTTCCACCCTCCTTCCTCTGTCTTGGAGTTGCATACAACAGAAAACATGTCCATGGTAAGGGCTCTGTGGCCAGTACTCAAGCGTTTAATTTTGCTTTTACAAGACAGTTTTATAACATCAAGAAGAATGGAAAAGCTGCAAGGCATGCATGCTCAAGACACTGCTCCTGGAAAGCTTTGGATGGTCTCCAGGCAATGTTTGGTGGCAAAGAAAGATGAACGTGTTGGAGAGATATAAAACTATCAGCATAGCCCTCATCCCACAATATTCCTGTTCCTCTGAGCTGGGAATGTCATTGGAGCACAAGAAGGACAGAAAAAATGCATTCCTGCAACATCACGTGTCTGAGGGTGAGTTTTGATTGCAGCGAGAATAGCTGCTTCTCTTCCACCCTATTGAATTTTCCTTGTGTAGTGAAAATAAGCCCATCCCATGACCTGCAAGACTAAACCCCTACTTTTTCCTTGTGTTTGGGCTCATCATGGAGTTTCTTATCTGTGTGGTTTCTCCAGAGTTTAACAAGGGAGAAACTCCAGTTGCTTGCTATTCCTCTGAGTCAGAAAAAAGTCTCCTCTGTCTGCTTTCATCAGGGAAGGTGACATTGTGGTACCCAGTGATTTTTTTTGAGGGGATCTCTTCTGTTCCTTTTGAATGTAAAATGGATTAACAAATTTGGGAATAATTTGCGAAGGGATAGATAGATGGATGCTGTGACTGCATGTACCCAGTTTCCTTTGGAAATCAGGCTAGCAAGTGTGCCTGGATATGTCACAAAGCATCCATAACAAGAATGCCTGCCTCAAAAAAAACCTGGGCCCCATATGAGGGCCTTATGGGGTCAGGGAAAGGGTTATGGACTTAGAGGTCTGGATTAGCAAGCTGCATCCAGGCTGATAATCAGCATTCATAGAGCAGCCTTATCATAACCAGCAGCAGCCCTCTGCTCCCCCTGGCTTTATCACCCAAGGACTGAGCAAATGTGTTGGCCAACTTTCCTCCTTAGCTCTCTACTGGGGATTATCAGAAGATCTTGCTTGGTGTGGTGAAGGCTCCTCCCAGGCCAACTTGCCCATCTCCAGCTCAGCAGCTTGCAGATTAATCTCTGAGTTAAGACCTTACATACCTGAAAGGTGTCAGGGGGTGGCTCAGAGCTGAAAGGATCGCCTGAATGTATTTTTCCACTCCATCATCTCTGGTTTTTATGTTCTTGCTTGGATTACTTCCCTGATTTTTCATTTTTTTTTAAATTTGTTTCTTTTTTTTTTTTCCTCTTTTTTACTGTCTCTCCATTGAACACTGATGGAAAAAGAGAATGTTTTCCTCCTGCCTATTTAAATCTTTGGCTGACTCGCATGGAAAAAGACACACTTACTGCAGCTCCCAAAGCCTTCAGATCAACAGGGGAGAAGGGGAGGAGGGAGCTGCAGAGGAAAGGAAATAATTTGTATAGGCGTAGAGTGAAGAATCACCTTCCTTTAAACTCGTGATCTGTCTGTGTTCGTACAGATTGCTGTCTCTGATCTTTCCTTCTCTGCTCAATATCTCTTCTATTATCTTTCCTCTGCCTTTGCCGTCAGATCTGTGGTGTGTCGCTTTTTGCTGGGACATCTTGCTCCCAGGAGAATTTGAATAAGGACACTGGGACTTGAAGATCCATATTATTGACAAGAAATCATTACTAAAACCTTTTAATGCATCTTCTGTAATTGATACAGCAATATGGGGAGTGGTTTTTCCTGTAGATGCTGGGTTCTCCCTCCCCACCCAATGTCTTTAAAAGCACTAAGTGTGGTGTCCTCCAGCCATTTACTGATTGGCTAAATGTATTGATGCCAGATGCTTTGTAGGTCTGTAAATATTTCCCTGTTTGCTGCTCATAGATGAATACACTTGCAGGGAAGCAGATGGAACCCAAAATACAGAGAAACAGAAGGCCCTGAGGGCTCCCTCCCAGCTAAGCACCATCCTATGTGTAATATTGTGGTCTCCCTTTTAGCTACCAAGCTTTGTCACCTGTGCATGGCTACATCCCAAATTATGGCCCTATTGCCTCGAGTTAATCTGGGTGCATCCTAAAGGGTGGAGAGCAAGAGAGATGATCTGAACAGGGCTGAAAATACCCAAACGTCTTACTCAGGCCACTGCAAGTAAAAAGCAGCATGGCTGGGCGAGAGCAGTGGTGTTGGTGTCCATCAGGAGCCCAAGGAGGGGAGGGCTAGGGATCCATCAGGGTGAGACTTGGCAAAGCACCTATTTCCTCAACCAAGGCTATCTTCTGACCATATCTCTCGCCTCTTTGCTGGCATCTGTTGCTAGGAGATAGAAAACACAGTTCCTTTTGAAGCATCTTCAACTGCCCTCTGCCTTCCTGGAGAGCTTCAGTTTTGCAGTCTCCTTCCTCCTTTCTTCCTCTCCCTTTATCTTTCTCCC